AGTAAAGAGTATGTTTATAGTTATTTTTAAAGTGTTTATTAGGCCTAGTGTTCTATACCTCAATCTATCAAGCTTCCGTTGGTAAAAGATGAAGAAGTCAAGTATTACAAGTATTGCAAGTACAACAAGTAAGTAGGTAGAGATTAATTTACCTGAACCAAAACTGGTTATAAAAAAGTAAATTATTGGGTTCCATCTAAATAATAATTGTTTTTGCAGTTCACGGTTAAGCTTGGATACAGATTGTTTTTGTAGTAAAGTACAAAGTACAACGCCTTAGCATTTGCATACAACCTTTGAGAACTTAGCGATGTCGGTGCCTACGACGGGTGGGGCTGGGCTACGCAGATGCACTGAAGAAGCCTGCACACGCTCTCTTTGCCGACGCACCACACTATATATTGTATATAGGCTACATCAGTTCGTTCAGACGACTAACCAAATATACCGGGTGTCCAAAACCACCCGTACACCCCTTTCAAAACGATGGAAACCTTTTCTTAAAAACAAAAAATAATACAGAACTAGCTAAATTGGGTACGGTCTACCAAATGGTGATAATTTCAAATCCAAAATCACACCGGAAGTGGCTTTTTCAGACCGGAAGTTGACTTTTTTTAAAGTAAACTACCAATTTTGATTACAGAATCGGATTCTACGTTGAAAAATACTTAACTTTTGTCTAAAACATTTTTTGAAAAAACTTGTTTTCTACATCTAATCCGCCATTAAAGTCAATAATTTTTGGTCATTCATCTGTCAAAATTACTTGAAACAATAATAGAGAAAAAACAAATAACAAAGATTACATAAAGACATATGATGAATAGAATCAGCTGTTTATTTTAAACACCTTAGCAATTAAGTAACAGCTGGTCTACACATTGGTAAGTTTAATTTTTTTTATAAATTATTTTTACATTTGACCTCTTAAATGTAAAAACAAATAATTTATTTTTAAAATTAAATATAACTAAGCAATGTGTCGACCAGCTGTTATTTGCTAAGGTGTTCACAATGAACAGCCTGACTGATTCTATTATCACATGTCTTTATGTAATCTTTGTTATTTGTTTTTCTCTATTATTGTTTCGAGTAACTTTGACAGATGAATGACCAAAAATTATTGACTTTAATTTGGCATTAGAGGTAGAAAACAAGTTTTTTTCAAAAAATGTTTTAGACAAAAGTTATGTTTTTTTCTACGTAGAATCCAATTCTGTAATCAAAATTGGTAGTTTACATTTAAAAAAGTCAACTTCCGGTCTGAAAAAGCCACTTCCGGTGTGATTTTGGATTTGAAATTATCACCATTTGGTAGACCGTGCCCAATATAGCTAGTTCTCTATTATTTTTTGTTTGTAAGAAATGGTTTCCATCGTTTTGAAAGGGGTGTACGGGTGGTTTTGGACACCCGGTATATTTATAAACCGTAAGAAACATACCCAACATTTTTATTTGAAACATTTTGCGCATTTTATTTGAAAAAAATATATAGATGGTAAAACAAAATTGTGAACTCTAAAACATAAACATAATAAAAAAAAGTTAAAATGCTATATCTCTTTGGATATAGTTTTATAAGAAAACCTTTAGTACAAAAGTTGAAGATAAACTAATTACAAATAATACAAATCAAATTTCACTACGATGGCATACGTAGAATTTTAATTATATCCAGTAAAGTGAACGACTGTAATTTCCAGGTTTGGAAGGGGTTGCGGGGAAAAGCTCAAGGGGGAAGATCGGGAACTTAAAAAAAACAGTTCTTGAGTGGTTCCATTACACATAACAAACTCAGCTTTCCACTATTTAGCTACGAAAAAGGCAGCTTGTGCGTTTATTGGCTGGGCTAGATTGCGTTGACGCAGCGCAGAAGTGTTCAACTAGCCCGCACGCGCTCTCTTTGCCGACGCCCAGCTCTTCACCCGGTCACCTAGATGACTAACCAATAACATATTTGTAAACCTTGAAAAACGTACTAAAACTTTTGTTTGTACCACATTAGCGTATTATTTCTATTTAAAAGTATACATAGAGAAAAAACAAAATTTTGTACTCTGAAACAAAGCTTTTAACGAAGTTTAAATTTTATATCTCCCTCAGTATTGGTTTTAGAAAAATGTTGTAAATACAAAAGTTGTAGGAAAACTAATCAAAAATAAAACAAAACAAATTGCAGCTCGATAGCTTACATAGCATTCGAATTATGACCAATTAAGTAAAACACTGCAATTTCTAAGTTTGGAGGGGGGTGGGGGGGAAAGCTCAAGGGGTAGAAGTGGGGACTTTTGGGAAAATACATCTCTCATGTGGTTCTATCACATATAAAAAAATCCAGCTTTCCACCATTTAGTTGCGAAAAAGGGTATTTTATTGCATTCATTGACTGGGCTATAATGGCAACTAAGGGACCTACAGTTTATAGTGGAATCCAAACAACATTTTTTCCTTGTAATTTACGAATTAGTCTAATTATCAGGATAGTACTGCGGATAGTAGTAGTACCATGGAGTATGTTTTATCTATGGTAGTACTCACTAGTGCGGACGTTAATCCATACCAGGGAGCATCGCATCCACAGTGCATCCCTCTAAATATCCACAATTCGTGACCTCCTAGTAGCTGGATTACAGGACGACGCCACCCGTCCCAGTCTAATTAAGGTTAGTAAACTCAACTGGCTTCTGGGCAAAAAATCGAAGCTTTCGTTGACCAATAAACTCACACTTAACAAAGTTATGATCAAACCTATTTGGACGTACGGGATTCAGCTTTGGGGAACGGCAAGCAAATCCAACTTAAGAATAATTCAAAGATTTCAGTCACAGGCGCTACGAAGAATAGTTGAAAACTGTGAAAGTAGGCTACTTGAACTTACATACAGATTTGTTTAGTTTAGTTTTAGTTGCATGTAATGACTGTTTTTGCAAGATCTATCACTGGAGAGACTCTTACTCAACTCATTCATTTATATTATGCCTTTTACAAATTGTTCATAGTTCTGAACAGATTGTAAAATATAATAAAATAAAAAAATCTTTCTTTATTTACATTCACGTTGTTTTGTTTTGTTATTCGGTAACCATCAGAGCAACCCATTAAGGCCAATGCTAAATATTTTAGATTCGTTTTAAATTGCGCAGGCGTTATCAAATCTCATTATGCTTAGTGGCCCAGGATCTTTTATTGAATAAAATGGTTTATATTACCTGTCCGTCAATATGATCCTATTGTCGTCTTAGGCGACCGGGTTCGGGATTAAAATCCCATCATCGAAAGCATTCGATCGGGTTGACCATAACATTCTTTGTCACAAACTTGAATGTTTTGGTATACGTGGAATTCCTCTTCAATGGTTCAGGTCATATTTAGTTGGTCGTAAGCAATACGTTGAGGTGGCGCAGAATGCTGTTCCTAACTGGCCGAAGTGAGATATGGTGTCCCTCAAGGCTCTATCCTTGGACCTCTGCTTTTTATTCTTTATATAAACGACGTCGGTGCCTATGTTTTTCCTAACTCCTTAACGCTGTATGCAGATGATACCACCATGCTTTTTAAGGGCTCGTCTGAAGTTGTTTAAGAGAACATGTCTTCAACAATTACAAATTTTGATAGCTGGCTCTTTAATAATAATCTTCTTTTAAATCAGAATAAAACTAATTATGTCCAATTTCTAACAAGAAACAAAAATCCACTGCATCTTAAACTATCACAATCTTCAATAAAAGAACTTTCAGAAGTCAAGTTTTTAGGTGTTGTTATGGATTCTCAGCTGACGTGGCAATCACATATTTCAGATCTTTGTGGTCGTTTGAGCAAGGTGAGCTTTGCCTTGAGAACATTGGTTTCTTTGATTGATCAGAGGGACCTTATCAATGTCTACCATGAATGCTTTCAGTCTGTTATATCATATGGTATAGAGGTTTGGGGAGGTTCCACACATGCAGACAACGCATTTACGGGACAGAAACGAGCCATACGTATTTTATCTGGTCTCTCATCCTCGCACTCTAGTAGGGGAGTTTTTAGAAATCTTAACATACTCACACTTTATTCTCTATATGTTTTTAAAGTGGTTCTTTTCATCAAGAATAAAATTGGGTCTCTTCCTGCTGTTGGAGATAGACATAGGTATCCCACCAGACATGGCTCAGATCTTCTTCTTCCACAAATCCGCCTGTCCCTGTCTGAAATAGAAACTTTTACAGCGGGTATAAAGATGTTTAACCGTCTTCCAACCAGTATAAAGGAATGTTATAGCAAAAGAAAGTTTAAAAAATGTTTGAAATCCTACCTTGTACAAAAAGAACCGTACACTTTTATAGAATTTATGTCTGGCTGATTGTTTTTTTATTTTTTATATATTATTTATATTATTTATTAAATGTTATTACTGTAGTTCTTATTGACGACTGAGATGTATAATTGTAAAAAATTGTACCTATTCAGAAAATAAATGACTTATGACTTATCATCAGGCGGTTAAAATGTCATATCACTCAAATTGAGGTAATCACAAAAACACACACATTAAACACGAAAACACGGATTGACATTGTACAAAGATACTGGCCAGTACAGGACACTACGACGCAGCACGGGTAGATGCGTGGTCATGACAAATTGTTGGACTAATTGGTTATCAAATCGAAATAAAAAATTGTTTGTTTAATAAAATGTTCACTGTTTGTCGAAATAACCCTGGTAAGTTTGTCTTTAATATGTTCAGTCGTTATTGAGTCAGATTCGGCCTACAAGGTCCGATCTCAAAGAGCTTCGCTCAACAATTAATGTTAAGCATATTTCATTGGGTTGTTTTAACAGATCGGAATCCTCAAAGAGCTAAGGTTTACTAATTACTTTTATATTCATTTTCCGGGTTATTTGGAGTGTAAACAGTTATTTACCGGGGGTGGTAGGGGGGGGGGAAGAGGGGGGGGGGGGGTTGGGGGGTGGTTGGTGGTTTTGAGAGACAGTCGGACAGTCTCAGTCTGTGCCGGGTGGTGGCGGTGACTCCTTGCTGTGGCCGATGACTAGCTCAACTCGCTCACCACTCTGTCAAGGTAACTCATACGCCCTCGCCTTGCACAGCTCAGTAAAATAGACATGCTGAATTCTGTGTACGTTAGGCGTATAACCTATCTATTGCCAATTACGTCCTAAACGTACGATTAATTAGTGAAGCCCAATAAGCATGCAAATTTATTTTCGTTATGATATTGTAATGATAGTAAAATGAGTCCACAGTCCTTCTAATATGACACAAAACATGAAAATCCAGTCATATAATTAGTGCTATTCCTTGTTCAAATCTACTTAAACTTTATTAGTCACCTTACACATTACGGTCTGGGAGATATGATAACTGTAAAAAAGTTTGATTGACTTTAATGTCGTGATAAAACTTTTTGACGGAAAGTAATAGCTTCACATGGGCAAAACAGATTTAATAAATAAATATTTAAAAAGTGTCAAATGTAATCCAAAAGGTGCCAATACAGTATGAAGGAATGATTCAAAGTCAAAGTCATTTGTTGAGCCAGATTAACAAAGACAGTTACGTTGGCCAAGTCTTAGCTAAAACTACATTTCTTTAATAAAAGAAATTAATTTAAAAATACAAAATAAGTATAATACAATCATGTAAAAAGACAATTTAAAAAAAAAATTAAAACAGACATTCAAATATTTCTTTATTACAGTTAAGAACATTTAAAAACTAAGAGTATGTAAGTTTTTGAGTTATCGACGGAAGATATGATTTCACCACACAAATCGCATGTTAATTGTCAAACAGCATGTCATGGGCCACAATGTATAAAGAGATACTAACGGCTGTAAACAAATAAAGACTGGAAAAATTGAAAAAAATCAATAATTGTCCTTGACAATTAATTAATTGTGTGAGATTTGAGCTAGTGGATCTCTGGTTTTGCTACCTCATACGTTGAAAAACATATAATATATTTTTACGCTATTTCTTGGGTTTGGTTTAGTGACACAAATTTCAATTTTATCATTGTGGGACTAACGGATACATTTCGATTTCGAGATTTGCAAATATAAATATTTGAACGAATATTGTTTTTGGTTTCCGAGGACATCAAAATGAAAAATTAAATAGATTTAGTTATTTCCACGTCACCTGTGGTAATAATCCTTCTCTTTAGGGAAATTCGCTAAAATTAAACCTTTGTACCGGTACTGTTTTATTTAAATCGCCAATTAATAAGTAACCGCACTTTGTTTATTCGGGTGATAAACGAAACCAAAATTTGAAGGTGTAATAACATACATCATATGACATACTCATTTTCTTACTACAATTAATATTTGATGGAAAAATGGAAACAACGAAATCCCCTTTTGATTTATTTGCGACATTACAATTTCGTCCTGGGGCAAAATTAACCTGTCGACCTCGGATAGCTAATCTAATTGAGAATGTCCAGGGTTGGTAGTAATAATAATATTATTTAGTTTAAAAATATGGGCTCAGATATGGGACTCAACAAAGCTTCTTATTGCTACATAAACTTCCTCTAATAATTAATACTATTACTGTATTATTCTTATTTCCACTAAATTTGTCCAAACCCCTTATTTTATATACTAGATACACAAGTATACATTTTTGTTATAGGATTATAATAAGTCAGAGTCAGAGTTTTCCAACACCATTTAGAAGCTATGTTGTCTTCTTTAATTCAAAAAAACGCTTCTATTAGCCGGAGTAAAATAACAAATCGACAGTAAGAAAAATATATTCACTAACTAAAATGTACAAAGAGTCGTTAAAAATGTGACAAAAGGCAGACTATATGTACGTTCGTAGCTTTAGTAGTAAGATTGTTTGAATATTTAATTAGAGTAAATAATAAAAGATAAACAACCCCGTCGCAGCAAACCTGCAGAGTAAGCGAATTTCGATTTACTTGACAGGATTTCTACTAAAACATTTCCTTAAAATTGTCAGATTAATTTCCTATTTAAATAACATTAATGTCAAAGAGTAGGGCCTACTTAGGTTTGTTGCTACATGCAAGGTAATGATGTGGGGTTTTATTAGTAGGATAGTTTGTCGGTGCCGTTTTTTGGGGGGCGGGGTTTTTGGGCCAACTCACCCGCCCCACGTCTAATTATTACTAGTACGTCTACCATTCTCCCTTCCAGTTGTTTGATATGTTGATATGTTGTTGTCTATATTTCTGTTTTATCTATATATATTAACACTGACATCATATTATAATATATTACTGTTCAATATATTTAACAAATGACACCTGATTAAACATTTTTTTTCTGCTATATTATTATTGTTTTTTTTTTTACCAAAAGTTGGAACCTATATAGTGTACTTAAATTTTAACAGTTTTGCTGTATCTTTTGACATTTTTGAGATACAAGTGATTTTAAATCTTGCTATAAGAAAATACTCTAAAATTAAAAATTAATTTAAATTGGCTTACAACCTTGTAAATTGGAGACCCACTTAGTTGAAATATAGTTAAATGACAAATTTAAGAACAAAAGATTTCTATAGTAACGGAGGATCTTTACAAAGAAATAGAATGTGGCTTGCACTTTTTGTTTGATACCTCTGGATATAGTAAAGATATTGTCAAAGCTAAACATCTCCATAGACTTATATTATTTGATCTGTCTTGTAACTGTGCAAGATTACTATGAGAATGTTGCAAGAATTAAATCTACAAATCATCGCCTTCAAACCTTAACTAGGGATAAAAAGTGCTACATTTTCATGATGTCAAGAGGTTTATTCTAGAATATGACATCAATACTATTACAAATTCATTACTAGAATACATATGAGTTTTTACATCAAATACTCTGAAATTTGTCCCCTGTGAAGCAAAGCTTGAGTCGTAAACATCAAGCGAACATACTATATACAATAACAAATACATAGATAAATCGATTTATTATATTGAATTGTAACATGAACTATTTATAATATTACTTTTGTGTTATCATTATAATAGACAAATCACTACAGCTATGCAATGTAAATCTGAGAGTTAATTATCATGATGAGCTACAACTTTTAATCTAAATGGAAAAGCTATTCAAACATATACAGGGTGTCACAAAAAAGTGTGATGGGCTATACAGGACCTAATTCTACATGCAAAAATAAGTCAAAAATGAAGAATAAAATTTTTTGGATTTCGGCTTAGTTTAGCCGTAATCTGCCATTTTGTTTTTTTGGGGAAAATATTTATTATTTCAAAATCCCTTTGAGATACTTTTACGAAACTTGGCAAAATTGTTTACACTATAGTAAGTAACATTTATAAAAAAAATTATTATTTTTACTGAAATTACTTAATACGTTACATAAATTATTACATTACATTTAATACATTTTAATATTAATAATTTCAGTCTAAATTACTAAAATAAACACAGCTTCTTTATTTATGAACCGATTTTATTTATTTTTGTTTTGTTGGATTTGTCACAATAAATACTAAAACTTTTGTGTCTTACAAAATTGTGATTTAGGTACCGGTTTTCATGAAATTTGGCATTAAAAAATTCAAACGGCCGCCATTTTTAAATTTGGAAAGTTAAAATAGTAATTTTTTTTATAAATGTTACTTACTATAGTGTAAACAATTTTGCCAAGTTTTGTAAAAATATCTCAAAGGGATTTTGAAATAATAAATATTTTCCCCAAAAAACAAAATGGCGGATTACGACTAAACTAAGCCGAAATCCAAAAAAATTTATTCTTCATTTTTGACTTATTTTTGCATGAAGAATTAGGTCCTGTATAGCCCATCACACTTTTTTGTGACACCCTGTGTATCCACGAAGAAAATTGGTTTGATTAGGGGGATGTCTTAAATCAAAGAAATAAAATTACCCAACAATTACTAAACACAGGTTATCAGTTGGCCTAAGGTAACAGTTTTCTTCAATTCATAATACTGGAAAAACTTTGTTGCAACATGTTAACTCGAATTGAAGCAGATCGTTTAGCATTCATTATAAGTTATCAATTAAAACTGAGAGCAGAAATAATGTAGGTGAACCTGTACGACCCAAACAGCGATATTTAAAATTAGTTTCTAGCAAGTGTTTAAACAACTCTAAGATGTAGCTACAATTATTCGAATTCAAGAATAAACTTTTCCTCGGCGTTATGTTTCATACTATGCGGCTCACTGAGCCGCACGGGTTCTCAAGTACAGTAGATTGCAGAATTGACTTAACTGGCAAATGAGTTTAATAAAAATGTAATATTGCTTACTGGTTTGATCACGATCAGCTGTATTGAAGTAAACAAAAATCAGCAGTAAATGGCTTCTAATGCTATTCTTCCCGCCGTCACGGGATCGAGACCTTTAATTTTAGTACAATAAAAATATGTTTTGACGAAAAAAAATTAGCACAGGCGGGGAATTTGGTACAGATGTTGGGTGTACCTTCCTTTTGAACATACTAAAAGTCCCCTAAAATTGAAGCTGTGCTACGGCCGCCATATTGGAAAATGGCGGCAAATTTCTGTATTTTTCGCTATAGTGACTTTATTATTAGAGATACAGGAAAAAGCTAAATATACAAAATGTAGTCCATCTAAAAATTATCATCTTTCTCTAAACCCAACGGTTTTTGAGTTATTTGCGATTAAGTATATTTAGTATTTTCTATTTATCAAAAAAAAAGTTAAACACATTAAAATTGACGGTTACTTTCAAGATTTAGGATAATTCATCCCATTTAGTTAAATAGTGTGATACTATAAAATCTTAACATTTAACTTTATCTTATGAGTAAAACAACTCCGCCACAGCAAACCTGCAGACTCAGCAATTTTCCATTTGATTTGATGTTTTATTAAATGTATATAAATAAAATTAGGTTCAACAGGTAACTAGGTTTGCTGCTACAGGTAGGTTATTATAGTGTATTTTTTTAGTAAAATATCAATGACTTAGTATCAAATAACCAATTTTCCAAGTTTTGTTCATAATAAAGCTATAAACAAGCTAACTACAACAGTTGACGTATTCATAAGAACTAGGTGAAACCCGTC